TGTGTGTGTGTGTGTGTGTGTGTGTGTGTGTGTGTGTGTGCTTGTGTTTGTGCTGTTCTGCAGCCGGTTGTTGGCCGTGTCTCTGTGACATTTTAATGTCTGCAGAGCTCTTCCTGCTCCTCTGCACCCCTCACAGCTCGTTACTCTCACTCTGTCTGCTTTTATTTCCCCCCACTCGTCAGCCTTGGCGTGCGCAGTTGTTCGGGTGAACTTTGTGTTTGTTTCTGTGGAGGCATGTGGTTGCATCTGCTGTGTGTTGTAAACACACGCTTCTCTGTAGAGCCCCCGCCCCAGAGCTTCGTGGTGTACATATGGGGCTCAGAGTTACCCACTGACCGGCCAAATGGGACTCGCTGGCTGGGTCCAAATTCAGGGGCTGCGTCCTTCGAAGGCCTCATTTTGTCGACYGCTTACGCCACTGCGCCACGCCGAAAGCTGTCCAAATTCCACAAACGCTTCCCCCATTTCTTACCCATTTCAGGGAGGGGTCCTTCTTTGCTTGTAATGGCAGATGACATGAGAGACAGGTGTAGAATTTGTATAAAAATTCTGGCGGAAAATAAAATTAAAAGTTTAAGGCAGTTGTGTTGTTAGGCTTTTTGTCATTTGCATAGACATGTTTTTTTTTTGTTGTTTTGTTTTGTTTTTGTTTGTGTAATGGAAATATTTCACTAAGGCAGAAACACGCGAATAAAACAAAGTGAACTTGCGTGGTTTGGTCGTCAAATGATTTAATAAAAGTTGCGTATGCGAGTGAGAACCGGCAGATGTGAATCAGAACATCTGTCAAGTTGCCACTAAGGCAGAAACAGGAAACAGACAGTTATAAACATCCGGTGGAGTTCCTAGGCAGCCAAAAACAGTGTGCCAAATAGTAGAAAGATATATGAATGACCAATCAAAGAATTACAAGTTGCATAGGCAATATGAAATGGGAACAAGGTTGCAGACATACGTACAGCGTCTTTAAGAATCATAAGACAGATTATACAAATGTGGCAGTAATCAATGAGATACAGAAACAGAACATGTCAATGTAATATGCAGTTATGCAGGATTATATAATATTTCCACCACAGTTTGTTTTTTGAAGACTTTATTTCTAGAGATTTAACAGCAGTCATTATTTCATTCCTCTGCTTTAAAGCAGCTCCTTTAATTCCACAGCTGACAATGCTAAAAATTACATTTCCTTTTTTCTGGATCTCCGAGAGCAGAACTTAAATCTCCGAACTCCTAAAGTTTTTCTTTTTTACTTTGCAATGTCATTTATGAATGGACACTTCCTTGTATCTGGGGCAGGAAATGTAGCCTTTTATGGTGTTTTTGGGGTGGTTTACGCAGCTCATTTACACACTTTTCCTGAAGATAGAAGAGTTTGTTGAATCTGACGTGGCATGTTCGTACGAACCCTTCGTATGAACAAAAGTACGAGAAATTTAGGATAAGAATACGAACATGTTCTTGCATGAGGCCCACTATACAATTAAATAGAATAAAATAATAAAATAGAAGACCCTCAATAAATCCAATAAAAACATAATATTCTTTTAAAATATAAAATAACAATTCAAGGTCACTTGAGTTATTTATCCTGGATCCAAGCACTGCTGGGAAGAAATCATGAGCGGACTACTGGAATAGACTGTATCGGAGTGCTAATGTTGTTGATTGTAGATGTAGGCCGATATTCATCTTTTGGCTAATATCAGACAAAGATCYGATATTGATATCGGATCGAGACAYCCCTAATAWTTTTGCTAATTTCAGTCTATTTTTGCTTCTGCTTATCATGGTTGCAAGGTGACAGGTCATACGACAGGGTATGGCCAGGAATAAAGTTGAAGGGTAGACCGTCCAAATTCACATCCACGGTCTACACGGTGGACAAAGAACCCGGCCCTGGGAAGGACGCAGCCTCTGAGTTTTGGTCATTTCAGACTTTACTCATTTTAATGAAGTCTTAGGCTCTCATTTCCCAAMATAAGATGATCTTAGTTTAAAACTCGGTTATGAAAGGCGGCGTGCAATATGCCTTCCTGGGATTTTAATGAAACTGTGTTTGATTTGTTTCTGTTTCATGCCTGAAGCAGAATCTCCAGTTAGAAGCTCAGTTCTCCACCTCCACTCTCTAAAGCCTCTCTCTGGCCTCGCTGTCCTCCCAGGTGCGAGCRATGCGTCTGTCGTTTGTGGGCGAGCTCGGCTGGGAGCTGCACATTCCCAGAGACTCTTGCATTCCCGTCTACAGAGCCGTCATGGCTGCAGGTTCAAAGCACGGCATCATCAACTCGGGCTACAGAGCCATCGACTCGCTCAGCATAGAGAAGGGTAACGCAAACACACCGTCCTGTTACTAGAAATCCCCGTTTTTGCTTATTCTTACAGATTTTGCTGTAAATTTTTTTCAGGTTACAGACACTGGCACGCTGACCTCCGCCCTGATGACACACCCCTAGAAGCGGGGCTTGCTTTCACCTGCAAACTGAAGAGCTCCACCCCCTTTCAGGGACGTGAAAGACTAGAGAAACAGAAGGAGGAGGGGCTGAAGAGGCGCATCGTCTGCTTCACTATTGATGAGTCAGTAAAATTCAGCTTTTTATTTTATTTTTTACATTTTCCTCTAAAGTTAAGTTTTCTTTTTTTTTAGATAACTTATCTCAGTTGTCAACTGTGCAATGTAGTTTGAGATTTTTGTTTTTGTTTTTTGCTCCACATCAGGAAAGTACCTATGTTTGGTTTGGAGGCTATTTTCCGAAACGGTGTTCCCGTTGGTCACCTGCGGCGATCTGAGTACGGTTTTTATATTGACAAAACTCTGGGTTATGGATACATCCGCAACCCTGATGGAGGCGTGGTAAGAACTTTATACAAACACTGGTATTATAACCATTTAAAGTTTTCTCTTGGATTTATTTCATCCTAATTTCTTGTCTTTGTAGTCTCGTTATACGTCATGGAGACAGGCATGCCTGTGTGTGTTTGCTCATTTATATGTCAGGAAGACATCTCATGAAATGATGGACGCATTTGAATAAAACACTCAGAAAATTATTACTGGATGTGCATCTACTGATGTTAATCAGTCTTTCCATCACAAATAACATAACCAGTTTCACAAATATTGAGCTAAGGTTTGGTGTGGTAGTAGCTGAGGCTCATTCTCAACACAATTTTATCATATTTCATAAAAAAATAATAATATCCGTTTTGCATTTAATGCAGAGTTGTAAAGTAAATAAGAACAAATACTTTGTTGGGTATCTGTAATTTACTTGAGTAATTATTTTTCAGCCTACTTTTTACTTCTACTTCTTACATTTTCACACAGTTATTTGTACTTTCTATTCCTTACATTATTTAAAAAGGCAAGAAGTAGAAAGTCGTTACTTTTATTCATTTTTGCTTGTTTTCATCCCAGCTTGTTATTGTAAAAAATAAATACTATCCATATAAATTGTGCCTCCTAGTTAGAGTGAATTTAACTGATTGATTGAGAAGTATAAATATATAAAATTCTGATACCGTATTAATTTGTACACAAACAAATCATGTCACACTCTGGCAGGACATAATTATTAAAATAAAAGGACTGTACTTACGGTAAATATTTGTATTTCATGATTTATATTATTGTATTTGGCTGCAGCCCTCATAGAGATTTTTATTTTGGGGAAAAGGTTTGTGCAGCCTTGAAATATATATATAAACTGAAACAGCTAGACTAGTGCATCCTAAATTTAACATAAGTTAATTATTTTAATATGACAGTCATTTCTGCATTTTTATTGGGAGGTCACCTCCTAATAAATGTTCTTACAGAAAATCTAACTGCTCATTTTAAATCAATACTTTTACTTTCAATACTTAATTTCAAAAAATATCAGATACTTTAAGACCTTTACTCAAGTAATATTCCTAAAGGAGACTTTAACTTTTACTAAAGTAATTTTTTGGTAAGATACTTGTACTTTTACTCGAGTATCATTTTGTGGTACTTTAAACAACACTGATTTTATGTAATCTTTGTTTCAGATTTACAGTAAACTTGGTAATGGACTATGGAATTGGTGGGAAATAAACTGCAGGAACCTTGTTTTCTCACATAAACAAACTTTAAATCAGCTTTTAGCCTCATTGTTCAGAGATCTGCCTCCATTTGGGGAATAAAATGCTCGTCTCCAGTAAAGAAATCTTTCGATTTTAGAATGCAACATCAGTTTAATATTTCATTTAAACACATGAGCTTCAGGCAAGTTTTGAAGAGCTGTAAGTTCTGCGGAAAGCTGTGTGTTTCAGTGTAAATGAAGGAGAGTGGCAGATCAGTGGGAGCGCTGCAGGGAGGGAAAATTAGACTCATGTTCCTTCACTTCCTACGTTTCAAACTCTCCAGCTGCTCATTTTGTTGCAAATGTTTCAGAAATAATCTGTTCTGGAGAAGAAATGTCTTTGAAGATTAATTTKAGTGTGTTTGCTTTAATCTACATTATTTCACATCTTTTTTATTTTATACTTTCATCAGTGTTCTCCTTCTTTAATAAACCACATCTTTGTGGKTTTTTTTCCCTCTCTCATCAGGTGAGCGCTGATTTCATTAAAAGCGGTGAGTTCAGCCTGGAGAGGATGGGCGTGACGTACGAGGCCAAGGCTCACCTCAAATCTCCGTTTGACCCCGAGAACAAACGCGTCCGAGGGATCTACGACTGAAGACGACAAACGTAGAAAAACTGACATAAAACTCTCCGGTGAGACGATAATACAGTCCGGTTTGGGACAACTAGTTCTTTTTCACAAACGAGGTTTTCAAATGTTTCTTCATTTCCTGAATCATTTGATTGAACTGAGCTGGAGCTGATAAAAACTGAGCCTACATAATGAGGAAAAAAAATCGAAGCTTTTAAAATCTGATATTACTGGTTTGTTTACATGTTGYGTGAATATTACCATAAAATGTACCRGTATGTCTGTTTAAGAGTGAAATGGGTTTTATCTAAAGGATTTAAAGGATTTTTATGCTTAAAAAAACAACCGTTTTTGGATCAAAACTCTGATTCTTGTTTTGTCGTTAGTTTCTGTGCTGCTCCGTCGTGACAACAGATCGACAAAAAACAAAATGATGGTGATCATAYATGCTTTAATTTCTTTTAGTTGTGCTCATTATCAAACAGATTATATATTGATGTTTACCAGATATGRTGTTTGTAAAAATATATTTTGTGTTTATATTAGTTAAATCAGATTTAACATTTTGATTACCTCCTAGCAAAGCTGCAAAAGCATCATGACTTCATTCTCATTAGTAATTGATTTGTTTTTTAACAGCAACTAAATTACCATAATCAGATGTAAAATATGGACAATAGCAGCCATAGAGTACCGGTAATATAAAAAAATGAATACTCAGATATTACTGGGTAATGTTTGCAAACTTTGCTAAAACCTCTGAACATGAGCATAACTACAGACAAACCTAATACATCTGATACTGCTTTTATTCATTTATTATTATTGTTTAGATTCTTTTGCAATAATTTTGGTAAAAATATTCCATTAACAATTTATTTGCATTTAAATTGATGTCTGGAAATCATCGACCACAGAGGGGTACCGACTCCAAATGTAGGAACCACTGGTTTAAAGAAAACACATAATTAAAATAATAATAATAATTTGTGCCTCTCAGGTTTTTGCTGCTGTGTATCGAGCACTAAATGTTTACTGAAGTGGAAGGATTCATTGATTTGAAAAGCCATTAATCATTAAAGTTATGGTGCTTAGTCATAACCTGATGAGATTATCGCAGGAAATGTGAAGCACTGTTAAAATATTACATCAATTTTTACCTTTTCCCTTCCTCTCGGAGTGTGATTGAGTAAAACCAACGCAGGTGAAGTTTATTCTAAAGTTAAAGAAAACATTGATTTTACCTCATGATGAGCTGTGCGCCCTGATTTTTATTTTATGTAAAGATAAATGAAGCAGAACAACATGTTGGTTGATTAGAACTGTTGTTTTCTCTGTTCAGAATTACTGTGTAATAATAATTAAAATATATATATATTTTAGATAAAAACGTTTTGTGCCAGGAGCAGCAGAAGAGTGGATTTCATTTGTGACCCTTTTTTCTGCATGATCCAACCATGATAAGTGGAAGAAAATGGATAATAATGAACACAAAGTATTTACAAATAAAAAGAGGAACAAAGCAAAGGAGGAGATGACATTTAATACATAATCATATCCACTACAAAGTGCACTTTATACTATAAACTTTAATAATTTATCTTAAACATCTCATCTTTTAACAAAGACATATTTAAAGAACACAAATAACTTTTCAATAACTTCCTTTTTTAAGCATCAAACATGAAAATCCGTCCTAATTCCTTTGAAAAGTGACAAATGAATAGGACTGTTATTAACTTAATTAGTGTGCACTAATAATAACCTCAGTAGGTGTTTGTACAGACACGTAATTACAGCAARGGTTGGAAAGCACACAGAACCTAATGCTGAGATAAAACTTAAGACAGGAAACTTAAATAATAACTTTTAACCACCTGTAACGGCTGCACAGGTTCAGCTGGTGGGCACGGACCCTCCCTCACAGGGGTACCGAGGTTTTGGAAGGACGGAGGTCACCTCTGGTATCGGCTGTTTTTCCCATTCCCCCTGAAAAAAAAAGATAAAAATGCTGCAGATCACGTGTCAAACTCAAAAATAGTTGACAATCTACAAAATTCACTGTAAAATCTCCATTTCATTTGCTGCAGCCTAGTTGTACWTGGAAGTRGGAATTTCCCACTTACAAGTCTTAAATTTAAACTGCAACATCCCTCCAGAAGGAATTCCCTGTCGGAAAGTGGGAGAGTTCAGGATTCAAGATGGAGGTTACTCACCACAACYCAACAACAGTRAGTAAAACTCTTACTCTAACTTTAAATTGTTTTTCTGTACCATCTAGTCAGTCATACACGTAGTATTCTTAAGTGTTTATAAGAGGACSTGTGAAAAYATTGTTTCTATGCAGGAAATACCAGGTAGAGCTCGGTCMTTGTTCGTCAGCTGTGCTCAGCCGTAGAGATGAGACGAGGAAYGTGACGTTTTCTGTTTATTTAAMGTTGAACACAAAACGTCAGTTTTTTGTAACTGGCCCTTTGAGGGCCACTATGATGCTCATGTGGCCCTCAGTGAAAATAAGTTTGGTTTGGATGAATAATATCTGCTTTCCAACAGTGTTTATAGCAAGATGCTATTTGGCAGTTTAAAAACAATAAATGTTACTTTTTCTAAAAATTTCAAAGGTGAACCAAATAACTGCCGAGTTCATGTGAAACTCCTCAGACTATTTATTATTATTATTATTTTTTTTTTGTTTTGTTTTGTTTTGTTTTTTCATATTCAAACTTTTTTTAAAGTTAGTTGCACATTTTTCACTGGACAGAATATTAAATAAGCTGCATATTTAGTGAGTGTGGGTTTCTTTAACACAAGCTGTCTTTTAAATAAGTTTGACTCTGATGTAAAACTGATGTTTGCTGTTGAACTGGTGGTTTGTGTGTGCAGGCGGGTATTTCCTACKATGTGGGGACAGTTTTTTGGCAKACACACATACTTGTGAGGGCTAGCTGGTACTTATGGGCTACTAGTCCTCATGGGAGGAATTGCCTTTTGTGGGTCAGGGGTTAGGGTCAGGTGAGGTTAGCAGTAATAGGCCRTGCGTGTGTGTGGGACTCACAGGGAAGAGGCGAGCGGTGGACTGATTGCAGTGCATGTAGAAGGGAGCTGTGTTGTAGAGCGAGTCCAGAACTTCTCCGGTGAATTCGTCCCAGTGAAGCTGCGAGAACTGCTCCGACACGCCGACCTCGCTGCACACACACTGATCATTTCCATTAAACCTGGAGAGGTTAAAGGGATAGTTCAGGACTTTTGTGTGKGGTACTGTGGAGATGTTATGAATAATTAACATCTTACCTGCTGTTGATAGATTTTTAAGTGACATCAATTTGTAGAAATAATTTATTTCTGACGACTTTGCTGCATTCTCTTCTCCAAGAGACTTCTTCAGTCTGAGTTTCAGGCAAAATTCAGGCTTTTAAGCCCTGCCTCCATGTGAC